TGCCACAGTTAATGCGAGTCATTGTTCTGTGGGCTTTTATCACTGTTTTGGGCTTTCTTTTTGAAGGAGGATTTCTTCTTTCCCTTTTGGCCCTATTCCTTAGTGGATGGGACAACTCTGTTATTCTAAATTCCCAGACACTAGGTTTTCATAGGCATTTTGAAGAATTCTAAATGAAATTATAGTAATTTTTTTTAAAAATATGATTTTTGCTATAAAGTAACGGGTTACAGTATTTTAAGAGTCTCACAGCATTTGTTGAAACTGGTCTGGAAGCTGGGTGTGGTGGCACACACCTGTAGTCCCAGCACTCTGGGAAGCTGAGGCAGGAGGATCACAAGTTTAGACTCAATATGAACAGCTTAGTGAGGCCTTGTCTTAAAATGTGAAAGTCAAAAAGGGCCAGGGATATGGTTTTCATTGTGAAGGCCGTGGGTTCAATCTCCAGTTTAGCAAAAACTAATCCTGCCAAAGAGAAGGTGCAAGGGAGAATTGAACTGTGTGAAGTCCAGGCACCAGCTCCCCATGAGAAATGCAGCTGAGTGTACCGCCCGAGTGCCATGTAATAGGAGTTGGATGCTGCACACCCACCCTCGGGGCTCTGGGGGCTGACGGCATACGTATTCTCGGGCAGCGTGGGGTTCCTGGCCAAAGCATCCTAGTGTCTAGGGCGCCAGACTCTGCCACCTAATTGCCATCTCTGTGGTAAGGGCCAGGGGCCACCCTGCTACCCTGAGATTCGGGGTCCCTGAGCACTCCACCCAGCTCTTTGTGGGGTCTTGGTCTGTGGGGTTCACTTGGTGTCTTAGCTCACATGTTTAGGTTCAAGGCCTGGAGCCCAGCAGGTGACAGATGTCACCGTCCTTCCCCTGTGTGACCTCAGGCTCATCCCTCTGCCTTGGTGCCTGCGTGGCAGGGTCCTTGCTGGCTTGATCCTGTGCCATGGCTGTTACTGTCTCCTGGAGTCTGGCCGACTGTCCATGGGTGCGGTCATGGTCGCTTCCATGGTTCAGTGCAGAGCCCAGGTCTGAGCAGCCCGTGGAGCTCAGCCTTAGCAAGCCTGCCCTGCACAGGGCTCAGCCCATCCTCGGGCCTCCCAGGGCAACCAATACCCAAAACCAGCGACACCCACAGCCGTGGATTCTGTGGGCCCGGGTTTGCAGCAGCCCTGGAGGCCAGCTTAGCTCTGTCTGTGGTGTCTGGATCCTGGCTGGTGACAGCAAGGACAGCAGTCACCAGAGCCTGAGCTGCATTCCCCGGGCCAAGCACCACACTCACTCTCCCTGGCCTCAGTTTGTCCCAGTGCTGGACTTTCTGCACACCTTCCTGTGCCGCAAGCCAGCCAAAGTCTGGAAAGCCACCAGGCAGCAGAGAAAGGGAACCCTAGACCCTGTGTCCTGAGGGGAGGCCTGGTGAAGTACTGGTCCCAGTTCCTATACCCCTGCCCCCTGGAGTCCCTGGTGATGACTGATGATGGCCTCCACCTACAGGGTCGCCTCTGCCTCGGAAGAGTGGAAACAGCCATGTCAGCCTGTGACCACAGGACTGTGTGCCGGTCTTTATTTGTGAAACTGCAGTTCAAGTTTCACAAAATTACTGAGCATTGTAAAATATTCTTCTTTAAACATAAACATTTACAGATGTAAAATGGCCTGAAGTGGGTCTGGGCACAGCGTGTATACCTGTAATCCCCACATTGGGGAGACTGAGGCAGGAGGATCACCATGAATTCTAGGCCAGCCTGGACTACACAAAGAGACCTACCTCAGAAGAGGAACTTACGAAGGCAGGAAGGAAAAGAAAAAAGGATGAGACAGAAGCAGGCAGTGGATCATGTTACAGCCACTGACCTATTAATATTATAAACCCTGGGATAATGCTGAAGTGGAGTTAAGCATTAAGACTGTGTGTGAGTTGGGGAAAGACAGAAATGATTCCAAGTTTCTTACATATTTTAACATGAATCAGTGAAGACGTAATTTGGAAATTCTGATCTTATCTTTGTTCTGTTCCAAAGTGTTTATTCTCTAGTCGTGGATCAGCCTGTTTACACTTCCAGGTGGAATCAGTGGGATTTATTTTGACACAGATAAAATCTGCTTCCTGCTGGAGTTCCCAGAAGACTGCATTGTGCTATATTTTTAAAATAAATCCTGGGGCTGAGGTGCAGCTCATTGGTTGAGTGTGCACCCCACCTGTGCAGGGCCCAGGATTTGCTCCCCAGTACTCTTAGTAAATAAAGGAAATAAACAGCCTGTATTTTCAAGAGGCTGTTGGTCCTAAGACCAAAAGATGGGCTTGATGATACTCAGGAGTCTGCTGTTTTACGTTTATTAATTGCGGAATATTTTCTGTATACCTAGCATGCCCAGCAGTGCTGTAGATACCAACGGCAAGAAGAGAGTGCCTTAGCCACGTTCTCAGCTCTGGACAAAGTACCCTACACCACAGTGTAAAGGAGGAGAGGTTTCTTTTGGCTCAGAGTTGGTGGAGGGTTCAGTCCATAGTTGACCCCATAGCAGGGCTGCACCTTGGAAGGGGCTGGCAGGGGAGAGCTGCCCACTGCATGGGGGATAGGAAGCCATGCAGAAAGCGGGGGCCAGGGAAGGGGCAGAACCCTTCCAGGCCATGCCCCCAGTGGCCGCCTCTTCCCAGGCTCTGTCTCTTAACAGCAAGTCAACCTTCAGCCCCCGACATCCCGTTATCTTGCAGAAGCTGCACCTGAGAGGTGCGAGGCCCTCCGGGGACATCTTAGTCTAGACTGGACATAGTAAGTAGGGAACTCGGGACACTGGGAGTGTGCGTCAGGCTTTCCCACCGTGCCTGCCCCCTTCCCATCCCGTACTGCCCATTGCAGGGCAGTCTTGAGGAGGAGGCCCCTGAGCAGGCTAGGAGTGCACACCCCCGCAGCACATTTACTGTGACCAGTGAGCAGTCCCAGCTCCATATTTGCACTCTGTTTATTGCAGTACTGGGAATTGAACCCAAGGGCCTGTAAATTAATGTTTCAGGTTTTATTTTGAGACACAGTCTTGGTACATCACTGAGTTTTCCAGGCTGGGCTCAAACTCTGATCTTCCTCCCTTGGCCTCCCAGTGTGCTAGGATGACAGATGTGTGCCTGGACTACATTTTTAAGAACCGTAGGTATCTGTGTAGCCTCTTTTATATTACTTTTGGGGAGGAACAACCAAGAACATGGAAGAAGTTCGTGAATTTTGAATTTGTTAGACTTTTTTTCCATGTTAAAGTACCATATTGAATGGGTAGAGAACGGAGGTGGATCGGTTAGAGACCTACTGGCTGACTTGTAGATTGGGGTAACCACCTTTGATTTTCCTCTAAGTCAGAGTGTCTCAGCTGTGGCATGATTGACTTTTGGGGGCCAAAGTCCTTGGTCCCCAGAGCTGCCCTGTGTATCAGATGTTGAGGGACATCCTGTCCTCCACCTGCCTGCTCAGTACCAGTGTCTACCAGCTGGGGACAAATGAAATTATCTTCTGCCACTGGCCAGTGTGCTTTGTCAGACGAAATCTTCAGTGGTCTAAGTAAGATGTGGAATTCAGCTGTTGCACATAGGATCACAGTGACACGTTTCTGTCTTAGCCAGCTCTCGCTCTGGGACTAGAGTGTGAGTCGACCTGTTAACCTTCTGGACACCCACCTCCACCTTTGGGATGATGAGCTGAACCTCAGCACCCCATTATCAGATTAAACGTCCCATCATGTTCTTCTGTGACTTCTGGGATTTTTTCTAAACTTCATAATTTGTGCAGTTTTTAAGAAGTCCAAAGAACCCCAGTTCCCTAAGACTCTAACAGGCCCTGGAATTTGCCTGGAAGACAGATAAGATTTTAAAATTAGCTTGAAAGTAACCAGCGAAGGCATGCTGAGCGACTCTCTGTTCTCGGCCTGGACATGATTAGGCTGTGTGAGCCGCGTGGCCCGGGGACACAGTTAGCTCCACCCCGTGGGCTGGGACCACAGAGCGACACAGACCCCGGCAGTGGGGCTACCGTCACCTCTCCACTTGGGTGGTGCTCTGTTCCTGAGGAGGGACACTGCAGAGCGTCCCAGAGCTCTGCAGCTAAGCCGTGGTACTTGGCCGGCGCCTTCCTCGACCGCAGTGTGTGCACCTGGCAGTGCCAACGGCCCCCGCATGAAGGCCCCATGGCAGGGCACGTGGCCTGGTGCTAGTTTCTGAACGCCGTGGCCAGCTGTAGAGCAGCGCACTTCTAACCATATGCTTAGAATACGGTTAGAAGCTCCCTGCAGCTGCCCACATAGTTCACCCTGTTGTGGCTCTCCCCAGAGTGCTGTCACTGGGGGTCCCCACTCCCGGGCTGGAAGTCCTCCCAGGCTTCCTGCATGTGTCTCCCAGCCCAGCCCTGGAAATCAGTGCAAGTGCAGGGCCACAGCCAGGACAGGAACATTCCTCCTCCTCTTCAGCTAGTGTGCTCCTCACCCGGAGCACACACTGGCACCTGATAGCACAGCTGCAGGGCTTTCTCCTTCCAGTGAGAGCTTTCATGGGAAGGTGTCACTCTGTTGGAATTTGGGGGGTGTGGGGAATTCATGATGCATGGCTATCTGTTGGAAACCAGAAGAGACTTTTATTGCTAATAATTGGGCATTGGGCCTGTTTGTTTTGGTGGGTTTTTTGAGATGGATCCCAAGGTTTTCACATTGAGGTACATTTTTAACTTCTCCCCTTTTTCAACAGGGCCTCTTTTTGTAAACAGGGTCTGGCTTAAAGGTGTCAAACTAGGAAACTTCCTGCCTCAGCCTCCCAGAGAGCTGGGACTACAGGTGTACACCACCACACTTAGTAAACAGGCATTTTTCAGTCTTAACCCCCATTGTGGAAGAAGACTTGGGTGTGCTTTGGGTTTCCTTGAAGTTCAATATATGTGGTTTGTGGCACAAACTAATTAGTTGGTTAGGAAAAGTATTATGGGTTGTTATGTCGGGCTGGGCTCTGATTTTGCTGTTTCTCCACAGTTAGCTAAAAAGATTCGAGAGAAATTCAACCGGTACCTGGATGTGGTCAATCGCAACAAGCAAGTCGTGGAGGCGTCCTACACTGCGCACCTGACGTCACCACTCACCGCGATCCAGGACTGCTGCACGATCCCACCAACCATGATGGAGTAAGGCTCCCCACCCCTCGCTGTCTGTGCCATCCGGGACCGCACTCACACGTGTGCAGAGTACCCGTCCCCTGTAACTGCCAGCATGTAGTGTTTAGTCTGTCATGTAAGATACGGCCTTCCGTGACGATAAGCAGTGTCATCTGTGTCGAACCCACCTGGGGCCCAGTGCCACACAGCCCCTGCCCCTCATCTCTCAGGGAGAGACATGAGGGGTTTCCCCCACTCCACTCACAGCCCCTCGGGGACTGGAGCACTGATATCCCTGAGCACAGGCTGCTCTCCCAGGGTGGGGACAGGCAGGCCCCATTGTGAGCACTCAGTGAATTTGAGGGTGGAAATGTTTTATAAACCTCAGATCTAAACGGCAGCTTAACGGTTACCTACTTCCCCAGGGAAGGCGAATCTTAAATTTTTACTTAGCTTCTTTGGAGAAGCCAACTCTTCCTATGGTGGGGGACCAATAACTCAGTGTGTTGGGTGAACCTCTTTTCCCTTACCTAAAAATCAAGTGGGTGATGAGACCCAAGAAAAATCATTTTCAGGACCTGGAGCAAAGACAGCATGAAAATCAGAATTCCCTGGCGGTTGATGAGGGCTATCCCGGTGGAGGGAGGGGACAATGTCTGATCAGGTTTTGGTTATCACGGCCAGAGCCGGGTCCCCATTCCATCCCCAACAGAGAGCACCGGGTCCAACACGATGGTGACGAGGACCCTGAAGTCCTGGCCTGCAGAGCAGAATTCGGCACTGCCCGGCCAAGGTCAGTCAGGGTTCAGGGGCGGCTTAGCCGATGCCCTTTTCCCTTCTCCTCTTCATACCGCGTCCTGGGAAGAGCTCAGCTCCCGAGTGACCCCCGTGTTCCCACTGGCCCTGCAGTGCAGTCACCATCCCCGCTGCTCCTTCCTGATCGGCCTGCATTCTGTGCCCGGAGCCACAAAGCAAAACGTCAGAAAGTGAGTCTGTGAACTTAGGATCCACATGTCTAATCCAAGCTGGCCACTGGAGGGCCCGCAACAGACAACTGCGCAGGCGCGTTTAGAGACGCGCGAGCATAAAACCCGAAGTGCCGCGGCGCGGTTTGGAATAGAGCGTGAAGGCTCAGCTGGGGAACTCACCCCATATGAGTGTGAGCCCGAGGCTCTCCGCAAGCTTGGGGACCATGTTGCCATGGCAACAGGAACTTCATCGTGGCCAGCAAGAAGGGTGAATGGGACAGGCTGGCCAAGCGCTCCTGTGTGAAGCCGGGTTCCCCCGTGAGCCTGACGGAGGACAGCAATGGGCTCTCCCTGCGGCCACCCGGAGTCCGTGCTGGCAGGCAGGAGCTGGGAGTGGGCCCCGTGCCGCGCTGAAGCCCAGAACTAGGGGGAGCCTCAGACTCCGGCTGTTGGCAACAGGAAGCACAGTGTGGCGTTGGGGACTCCCTGCCTCCTTCAGCCCCGGCCACGTGGTGCTGTCCTGCCCGGGCACCTGTTCAGAATCCCCCGACGCCTCCTGCCTGACAGTCGTACAGCCGCCCCGCTGCGCCTCTGCTCGCTGGGCCCGAGTCCCCACTCTTCCCAGAGGCAAGTCCACACAGCTCAGGGCTCAGGGCGTTTACGTGCTAAGGAAGGAAGAGTCTAGGCCAATGGAGTTTCACATAGTGATCAAAAGCAGAGTTTCTGACCCAAGGCAAGCGTGGTTACTGAGTCACACCTCCCAGGTGGACTCTGGGAAGAGCCTAAAATCCCGAGCCTCAGTTTCCCTGTCAGTGAGAGGAGGATGAAGACTACCTACCTCACTGGGTTGTTGTAGGAGACAAGTATTTATGTTTTTTGAGACGGCGTCTGCATATGTAGAGACCCCATCAAACTCAGCAATCCTCCTGCTTCAGCCTCCTGAGGTGACAGGTGTGCACCTCCACACCAGCCCAACATGTCTCAGTCTGAAGGCAAAGTCTTTGAAGTCTTCAAGCCTGTGGGCCGTGTCCGGCCATGCGCATGGGCGTCCATACAGCTTCCATAAAAGTACTATCTGCAGTCAGCCTTGGGGAAAGGCTTCTCCGCTCTTAGACCTGGGGAGTGACCACTCTCAAGGTGTCTGCACCCACAAAACTTCCTCCTGGGACAGCACTGGCTAGATGCCACAGTCCCCGTGCCTTGCAGTTCATCGCTTCCTCTTCAAGTCTGCGAAGACTCAGTATTTTGTAAATACTTTTAACCTGCAGCTCCTTTTTAATTCTTGCTTCAGGCCAAGCCTTTCATTCCTGCTGTTTACAATTCATATTTTATTTTCCTTATGGGGCCAATAGTTCATGTACTAAAAGTAAAACGCAAACTACAATTCCCATTTCGGAAGAGAGGGGCTTTCAAGAGCTGTGCTGTGGTGATTCTGTGGGACAGCTGCTGAGGGGCACAGTGCTGACCGTGGAGAGCTCGAGATGCTTTGCTTCTCGGCCACTGGACTCGGAGTCCACAGGGATAGGAGTTAATGAGTGTGTGCGGGTCCCTGTGCGGTGGTCAGGGCCTCATTGGTGTTTAGTGGAGAAAAGAGCTGAGAGTTTGACGTTCTCTAAGATGGGGACAGACAGGCAGAGGCTAACCTAAGACAAAGCCCTCTGCAGTCACTCAGCTTAGAACAAGATTTGAGAGAGCTCGTACCTCATTCATCAGCGACCTGGTGTTGGATCAGGTTAGAAGCTGAGGAGACAGGAGCTCCAGGTGTTTGTTCTCTAGGGGTTCACAGACATATAAGTGTACCCCAAGGCTTTCTGGATGGGCCTGTACAAGGGTACAGATGTTCAATATGTTTTTAGGTTTCTAAGTTCTCTCTCTCTCTCTCTCTCTCTCTCTCTGTCTCTCTCTCTTTTTGGTACTAGGAATTGAACTTATGACCTTGCGCTTGCCAGGCAGGTGCTGTGCCACTGAGCTACATCCCCCAGACTAATAAGTTATTAAAGCCACTGCCCCATTTTATTGTTGTTTTGTTTGATTGTGTTTTGAAACAGGATCTCACTATGCAGTCCAGGGTGGCCAGTGATTCTCCTGCCTCAGCCTCCTGAGTGCTAGGAACCATCGCCACTTCAATTTTGAGAGGTTTTCCATTTCTCAAATGTCTGAGCCTGGTGCAGTGGTGCACACCTGCAATCCCAGTACTCAGGAAGTTGAGGCAGAAGGATTGCTGTGAATTCGAGGCCAGCTTGGGCTACAGAGTGAGTTCAAGGCCAACCTGAACCATATAGTGAAACACTGCCTCAAAAAAAAGAGACCAAAAACAAAACAAAACAAAAATCAAATATCTGGGTTCCCCTGAACACTCAGAAGAGCCAAAGTCTTGGGTTCAAGTTCCCACTTCTCAGCTGACTGCCTTCGTGGGAGCAGCACCGTGGGCAGTCTTGGGCCAGCCTCTTCCGTCGGCCACATGTCCTACACATGCCTGGTCACTTAGTCCACATAGCCATTTCCTGGATTTCGGTCTGCTTGACGGTCATGGCGTGCAATTTTGCAACTCTTGATTCTGAAGGATTTGTGTGTGGACAGAGTGGACCTAGGAAACATCGAGGACAGACTTCCAGGCTGTTCTCTCGTGCCACAAAGCACCAGGCCCTGGTGTACACTCCTGCTGGGGGAAGCTTTGCTGTGTGCGGGGACACTGCCAAGGTGCTGCTGAGCGGATTTCCCCAAACTAGCTGTGGTTTCGCAGCCACATTTCCGAGCCTTCCTCTCTTCCTTCCCCAGTTTCCTGTGCGGATATCCCTGCCCGTGGCCGTGCTTATTTTTGATGTCTATTTTGTGAGGAGAAGATGAACGTGGAGGAGGTTCCCGGAAGATGGAGTGAGGTTTTTGTTCTCTTTCACTGGGTGGAGTTGAGAGCAGTTGTCCCCATTCACTTAAGGCCTGAGTCAGGAGCCGGGTGGGAATCGGCATCAGCTCTGAGGCCTGGCCCACACAGCATGTTTTCTGCCACTTCCTGGGGCTTTGAGAAGTCAGGGGACCACACGGGACCACTGATCCTGTGCCACGCCTCCGGGAGACCTGCAAAGCTTCCTGGATCCCAGCCTTGAGAATCTGTGATCCCCACCTTTCCCAGGAAGCTTTCAGCTGGGTGCCCTCAGACCATGTAGTCCCCAAGAAGCACCGTGCACCCTCGTTTCAGAAGAACCTGCATTTAGTGCATCCTCTGCCAGCACTGACCACGTTGGCATAATAGATGGAGACAGGGCTCTCTGCTCACTCCTGAGGGGCTGGCGCGGGTGCTGCAGAGGAAGAGGGGGCAGAGGTACTGGCTGCTAAGTGATTCTCCTGCATGGCCACTGTTCCAGTCCTCCGTGCCATTCCCATTCTCCAGAGCTAGAATCACGGGGTCGAGGTATCTTCATAATGGTGTCAGACTGAGCCCAAAATCTGTAGTACAGGTCAGACACCTGAGAAGAGGCCAGATGCCTGAGAAGAGGTGCAGTGTGCTGAGAGCACCCCTTTGCTTAAAGGCCTCAATGTTTGTGTCACGAAGGTTCTCAACTGATTAGATAAGGCCCACCCAGTGATAGAATGTAAACTGCCATGCACTAAATCCATAATCTGGGTGGTGACATCATCCCAAAAATGCCATCTCAGAAGCATCTAGAATGGTGTTTGACTGCATTGCTGGATACTACGTCCCAGCCTAGTCAATGTATCAGATGAACCATCAAATGCTTAGAGATTAGAGAACTGGACTGTGAGGCCTATCAGAGACATTACATTTTTATTTCTAGTCTTCAGATTTAGACTGGGAGAATATAAGTCTTTACTCCTGGAACTTTTATGCTCTCCAATTCTGCTTCTCCTTAAAAAGTAAATGAACAGGCTGGGAATGGTGGCACACACCTGTCATCCCAGCACTCAAGAGGCTGAGGTAGGAGGATCGTTGCAAGTTTGAGACAAGGCTGGCAACATAGTGAGTTCAAAGCCAGCCGGCACTACAGAGTATAACCCGTCTCAACAAAACAGAAGCAAATGAGTACTGGATGGGAGTCTCTGAAT